CATTGAAGCTCAGAATATAATTATATATTAGAAGTGTACACAAAAAGACTTGATCAGCGCATACATGCATGCACGTGCGTGCACGTGCGCGCGCGTGCAATGAGTAAAATGACAGATATACTTGATATAGCTATAACTTTCGTATCTTTTGATGAAATGCGTTGATACTCAGGATATCAGAATATATTAAAAGTATAGACAAGATGACATGGTCAGAATGCACATGTATGCACGTGTGCGCATGCGCAATGATTGAAATAACCAATACAAATGATATAGAATTAACTTGTACATTTTTTATGAATTGCTTTGAAACTCAGAATATAAATACATATTTGAAGTGTACACAAGATGACATGATCAGCGCACACATGCATGCACTTGCAAGCACGTGCGTGCGCGTGCAATGAGTAGAATGACCAATATACTTAATATAGCCAAATCTTTCATATCTTTTGATGAAATACTTTAATACTCAGAATAAAAGGATATATTAATAGTGTAGACAAGATGACATGGTCAGCATGCACATGCATGCACGTGCGCGTGTGTGCAATGATTGAAATAACTAATACAATTGATATAGATTTAACTTGCACATTTTTTGTTGAATTGCATTGAAACTCAGAATATAAATATATATTATAAATGTAGACAAGACGACATTGTCAACATGCACATGCATGCACATGCGCGCGCATGCAATGCTAAAATGACCAATATATTTGATATAGCTGTAACTTTTATACTTTTTATGAAATGCTTTGATACTCAAAATATGTAGATATATTAAAAGTGTTGACAAGATGACATGGTCATCATGGACATGCATGCACGTGCGAGCGCTTGCAATGCGTAAAATGACAGATATACTTAATATAGCCGATTTTTTTTATCTTTTGATGAAATTTGAATATAAAGGTGTATTAAAAGTGTAGACAAGTTGACATGGTCATTTTGTACATGCATACCCGTGCCCGTGCGCGCGCGTGTTATGCGTGAAAAAACCAATATACTTGATTGCCTTATTTAATGAAGCTTACAGGGAATAAGACACCAAAAGGAAGTTGGGGAGCGTTTGGGGAACATCTGTAACGGTCCCCGTTACAATTAATACTAGTTATAATTACATTATAAGGTTTCACGCTACAGTATCTAAAGGAAGGGCTTGTCACAAGGATTAAATATGTGAAGATTGAAAGCCCAAGCCCTAACCATACAAAAGTCAAAGCCAAGGTAAAAGTTTTTTAAAAGTAGGTCAAACTCCAAAGTCAAGGTCAAAGGGTCAAAGTCGTTGGTATCTAAAGAAAGGTCTTGTCACAAGGATTAAATACCGGGTATGTGAAGTATGAAAGCCCAAGCCCTAACCGTTCAAAAGTTAAAGCCAATGCTAAAGTTTTTAAAAGTAGGTCAATCTCCAAGGTAAAAAGGTCAAAGTCGTTGGTATCTAAAGAAAGGTCTTGTCACAAGGATTAAGTATGTAAAGTATGAAAGCCCAAACCCTAACCGTTTGAATGTTATGACCAAAGTTAATGTTTTTTAAAGTAGGTCAAACTCCAAGGTCAAGGTCAAAGTCGTTGATATCTAATGAAAGGTTTTGTTACAAGGATTACATATGTGAAGTTTGAAAGCCCAAGCCCTAACCGTTTGAATGTTATGACCAAAGTTAATGTTTTTTAAAGTAGGTCAAACTCCAAGGTCAAAGGGTCAAAGTCGTTGGTATCTAAAGGAAGGCCTTGTCACAAGGATTAAATATATGAAGTATGAAAGCCCAAGCCCTAACCGTTCAAAAGTTATGGCCAATGTAAAAGTTTTTTAAAAGTAGGCCAAACTCCAAGGTCAAATGGTCAAACTTGTTGGTATCTAAAGGAAGGTCTTCTCACAAGAATTAAATATGTGAAGTATGAAAGCCCAAGTCCTAACCGTTCAAAAGTTATAGCCATGGTTAAAGTTTTTTAAAAGAAGGTCAAACTCCAAGGTCAAGCTCAAAGGGTCAAAGTCGTTGGTATCTAAAGGAAGGTCTTGTCACAAGGATTAAATATCTGAAGTATGAAAGCCCAAACCCTAACCGTTCAAAAGTTATGGCCAAGGTTTTAAAGTTTGTTTAAAAGTAGGTCAAACTCCAAGGTCAAAAGGTCAAAGTTTTTGGTATATTTAGGAAGGTCTTGTCACAAAGATTAAATATCTTAAGTATGAAAGCCCTAGCACCAACTGTTCAAAAGTTATGGCCAAGGTTTAAGTTTTTCAAAATTAGGTCAAACTCCTAGGTCAAAAGGTCAAAGTTGTTGGTCTTGTCATAAGGATTGCACATGTGAAGTATGAAAGCCCTAGCACCAATTGTTCAAAAGTTATAGCCAAGGTTAAAGTTTGGTAAAATTTTGCAAAACTGGGTCAAACTCCAATGTCAATGTCAAAGGGTCAAATGTGGTGCCCAAAGAAAGGTCTTGTCACAAGGAATACACATGTGAAATATGAAAGCCATAGCTCCAAAAATTCTTGGCAAGGTTAAATTTTTTGCGGACAAACAGACAGACAGACAGACGGACGGACAGGGCAAAAACTATATACCCCGAATCTTCGTTACGGGGGCATAAAAATTTTCCTCTTAATATGATTGTACGAAATGATTGTCCTGCAAATATATACATAAATGTCCTTTCCCTACGTAGGGGAAAATCACACTTGAAAGTCACTAATATTAGTGTCAGGGGATAAAAAAAATATTTATAATATGTACATATATATAATCAAAGATTCGGGGGCATACAGTTTTTGCCATGTCCGTCTGTCTGTCTGTCTGTCTGTCCGCAAAAATTTTAACCTTGCCCATAACTTTTGATTGGTTAAAGCTATGACTTTCATATTTCACATGACTATTCCTTGTGACAAGACCTTTCTTTGGGTACCATCATATTTGACCTTGAACTTGAAGTTTGCTCCACTTTCGCAAAATTTTAGGAGACTTTAACCTTGGCCATAACTTTTGAACCGTTAGTACTTGGGCTTTCAAACTTCACATGTGTATTTCTCGTGACAAGATCTTCCTTTGGACACCAACAACTTTGACCCTTTGACCTTGACCTTGGGGTTTCACCTGCTGTTGAAAAAACTTTAACCTTGGCCATAACTTTTTAACAGCTTGTGCTACTGCTTTTATATTGCACATGTCTATTCCTTGTGACAAGCCCTTTCTTACGATACCAACAACTTTGACCCTTTGACCTTGACCTTGGAGATTGACCTACTTTACTTTTGAAAAACTTTAACCTTGGCCATAACTTTTGAACAGTTAGTGCCAGGATTTTCATACTTCACATGTGTATTTCCTGTGACAAGACCCTCCTTTGAACACTAGAAACTTTGACCCTTTGACCTTGGAGTTTGACCTACTGTTCAAAAAACTTCAACCTTGGCCATAACTTTTAAACAGTTGGTGCTAGGGTTTTCATACTTCACATATGCATTATTTGTGACAAGACCTTCCATAAGATACCAACAACTTTGACCCTTTGACCTTGGAGTTTGACCTACTTTTGAAAAAACTTTAACTTTGGCCATAACTTTTGAACAGTTGGTGTTTGGGCTTTCATACTTCACATATGCATTCCTTGTGACAAGACCTTACTTTAGATACCAACAATTTTGACAGTGTGACCTAGACCTTGGAGTTTGACCTACTTGTGGGCACCACTTTCCCTTGACCTTGCCATTTTACTTTGAAAATGCTTTAACCTTCGCCATAACTTTTTCCACGGTTGGTGCTAATGCTTTCATATTTCACAGGTAAGACCTTTCTTTGGGTACCTACATTTTTGTTCTCTTGACCTGGAGTTTGACTTGCATTTGAGAAACTTTAACCTTCGCCAGATGCTGCCATACGGAGGCATCAGTGTTTCACAAACACATCTTGTTTATGTAATAATTGAATGCTGCTTTGAATTTGTACACTGTCCACAGATGCCTCGGAAGGACAGAATGACCATTTTGATATTCAAGGGAATCAAATGACACTCAGAAAATGGACATTCAAGAAATCAGATTTTCACAATAACACTCAGAAAATGGACATTCAAGAAATCAGATTTTCACAATAAATTTTCATTAGAATGGTGTAATAGCTCGAAGGGTAAGGTGGATAACTCTGATTTCCAGGGCACTTCTTCTTCAACATGTGATGCAGAAGGTTTTTTTTTGTTTGTTTGTTTTTTTTTTTTTTGCTTTGTTTGTTTTTTTTTTTTTTGCATTCCACAATAAATGTATAAATTCAAGCAATGAAGAGGTAAAATGGGATTTCTCAAAACATGAAAACTAGGGGAGTATGTGTTACGTGTCAGTACAATTCATCTAGATATGTAATTCTTATTCAACCTTTTTATATGTTACTGCATTAAAAATTGATCTTTGTCGTCATTAAGCACTGTATTGATGCGAAAAAGTCTCTTTTCGATTGTATGAATGGGTCCTTTTTGAAGTAAAACAAAGAATGTGGGGTTTGGGTAATTGACAATCGGTTGGGTCACTGCCACCTAACACAACACTACTTACTTAGTGTGGCAAGCCTAGAGCGTCAAACAAACCACCTAGTATTGCTAGAATAAGTATGGTAAGCCTCAATGCTAAGTCATCCACCCAATTAACCCATGCTTGATATTTCCTTCTTTTTCTCCTTTGTCTTTTTTTTCTTTTTAAGACAAGTGAACACCTCAGTCAACAAATTAGCAGCGCCAGTTTTTATACCCTTTGTAGGTCTTATGATTAAAACTTTCAATCAAATTTGCAGGCTCTAGATTCCCAAAGGCTGTTTGAAAAAGAAATATGAAGCAGTTTTTTTAGTTTTCGGTGGGGAGGGGGGGGGGGGTTACTAACCTAGAAGATTTGAGACGTCAACAGTCATTCTTTGTCTACTTCCATGCATCACGATGTATCTTTTAAAGTGGGGGTTTTCCTATGCGGAAGCTACTGACAAAACCTTTATCAAAATCACATCTCTGTAGCATAAATGCGCTTCGTCAAAGTAAAAAAAAGTGATGAGATTTTTATGATGAAACCTTTGACAAAAAATTCCCTAGGGAACCGTTTATCTCCTTTGCAAGCTCAGTATTCCTAGAGGAAATATGTTTTGCCGTTCTTCCGGTTGCATCAAAATAATAATTCTTCTTCTGGGGAATTTATATGAATTAACACAAGCTACAATAGAAGGTATGCTTTTTATATTTCTTTTCACAAATTTACCTTTTACTACTTAAACAATGCTACATCAATTTGATTTTTAAAAAAAAGGTTTAATGAGAATAATTTGGTTCAGTAGGTCCTGTTATGAAAACAATTTTTTTGGGGGGGGGGGGGGGTTTCTGGGTGATAGCATTGAAAAAAAATCGCGTAGTAATTTAAATGATTAGACTTAGCTTTTTCTTTTATGCAACAAAGTACTAGCATTCTCTTTGTACTTAAAATTTATTAGTAACACTAAGTGAGACACGATCGGATGATGATAAGTGTCTAAAACAGGAAGTATGACAACGACAATACATCCAAACATGTATAAAGGGATTGATTATAAGATATCAGGATCGGAAGATTTAAAAACAAGAAGCCCAGGGGCCACATCGCTCACCTGAGCACTATGGCTAGGAAAAAAGGAAAATTCAGTTTAGTATTGAAAAGCTTAAATGCATAAGTGGTCCTTACCTACCCCTAAAAGTGAGGGGGGGGGGGGTCATGATTTGAACAAACTTGAATCTACACTAAGGATGCTTACATAATTTTTTGACTAACTGTGACTTTTTTCTCTACAAGTTTGAACTTTCATTGTGGCCCCACCCTACCCCTGGAGGTCATGATTTGAACAAACTTGAATCTACACTATCCGAGGATGCTTCCGTATAAATATGACCAATCATAGCTTTGCTGTTCTTGAGAAGATTTTTAAAGATTTTTCCTATATATTCCCATGTAAAACTTTGATCGTTCAATGTGGCCCCACCCTACCCCCGGGGGACATGATTTGAACAAACTTGAATCTACACCACCTGAGGATGCTTCCACATAAATATGACCAATCATAGCTTTGCTGTTCGTGAGAAGAAAATTTTTGAAGATATTTCCTATGTACACCTATGTAAAATTTTGATCGTTCATTGTGGCCCCCACACTACCCCTGGGGGTCATGATTTGAACAAACTTGAATCTACACCACCAGAGGATACTTCCACATAAATATGACCAATCATAGCTTTGCTGTTCGTGAGAAGAAAATTTTTGAAGATATTTCCTATGTACACCTATGTAAAATTTTGATCGTTCATTGTGGCCCCCACACTACCCCTGGGGGTCATGATTTGAACAAACTTGAATCTACACCACCAGAGGATACTTCCACATAAATATGACCAATCATAGCTTTGCTGTTCGTGAGAAGATTTTTGAAGATTTTTCCTATGTACACCTATGTTACACTTTGATCGTCCATTTTGGCCACACTCTGCCCCGGGGGTCTTGATTTGAACAAACTTGAATCTACACCACCTTAGGATGCTTCCATATAAATATGACCAATCATTGCTTTGCTGTTCTTGAGAAGATTTTTGAAGATTTTTCCCATATATTCCTATGTAAAACTTTGATCGTCCATTGTGGCCCCACCCTACCACCGGGGGTTATGATTTGAACAAACTGAATCTACACCACCTGAGGATGCTTCCAAATAAATATGACCAATCATGGCTTTACTGTTCTTGAGAAGAAGATTTTTGAAGATTTTTCCTAAATAGTCCTATGTTAAACTTTCATTGTCCATTGTGGCCCCACCCTACCCCCGGGGGTCATGATTTGAACAAGCTTGAATCTACACTATCTGAGGATGCTTCCACATAAATATGACCAATCATGACTCTGCTGTTCTTGAGAAGAAGATTTTTGAAGATTTTTCCTATATATTCCTATGTAAAACTTTGATCGTCCATTGTGGCCCCACCCTACCACCGGGGGTTATGATTTGAACAAACTTTAATCTACATTATCTGAGGATGCTTCCACATAAATATGACCAATCATGATTTTGCTGTTCTTGAGAAGAAGATTTTTGAAGATTTTTCCATATATAGTCCTATGTTAAACTTTCATTTTCCATTGTGGCCCCACCCTACCCCCGGGGGTCATGATCTGAACAAAGTTGAACCCACACCACCTGAGGATGCTTCCACATAAATATTACCAATCACTGCTTTGCTGTTCTTGAGAAGAAGATTTTTCCTATATACACATATGTAAAACTTTGATCATCGATTGTGGCCCCACCCTACCCCCGGGGGCCATGATTTGAACAAATTTGAATCTACACTACCTGACAATAATTCCACATGAGTTTCATCTTTCCTGGTCCATTGGTTCTTGAGAAGAAGATTTTTCAATAATGCCATTAATTTTTTGCTATTTCGTAATTATCTCATTGTAATTGTCTTTGAAAAATCATCTTTCTTGAATTGTAGCCTGTTATACGGTACTTAAAATTTTATTCAATTACGAAAAGTGAATAGATTCATTTTTTGAGACAATAAAAAAGTAAGTCGTTATAACAAGTTAGTATCTCGACAGTCGTAACAACTAGTTGGTATCTCGTTATATTGAGTTCAAATTAGAATCGTTATAACGACTTAGCTATCTCGTTTCATCACGAGATAATTGATCTCGTTTTAAATAGTTAAAATTATATTGTTATCTCGTTATAACGAGTTAGTAACTCGTAATACAACAAATTAGTTATCTCGTTTTAAATTGTTATCTCGTTAAAGTTATCTCGTTTCAACGAAAAATTATCTGGTTTAAAATAGTTATCTAGTTAGTTATTTTGTCATAACGAGTTATTTATCTCGTTATAATCAGTTAAAATTAAGTATAAAGATACTAGTGGCAGTAAATGAGGGATAATGTCATTATCAAATGCAGACGCATTGATATATGTTAAAATCTGTATCTTGTTTGTATTTGAGAAATTTGGTATTTTTGTTTGATTTTTTTTTTGTTTTTGTGTGTGTGTGCGTGTTGATTGATTGTTTGTTTGTTTACTTTTTTTAATCACGTTACAGTATCAATGTTTATCTTTTAAATTTGTGCTGCAGTGTCCTCGGTCAACAGGACATGGTCTGAAGCTTCACGTCGTTGTCTTCTCTTTGGATCAAACAACACAGGAGATGTTCAGATAAATAAGATCAATATTCCCAGTACATTGTCAGACGGTTTGTATTGGATAGGAGCAACAGTCAAATCAGCCTGGTTTGAATTTTTGGGTATTGTTTATTTGCATATCCAGACAAATTTCTTATAGTGTTTTATAAACTTTAAAAAAAAATTAAAGGTTTTAAAGTCTTCAGCTGTTGACAATTCTGTTACAATTAAATTTCTGATCATTAGATAGAAGTATGAGCAATAGTCTTTGATTTCATCTTAAAACTTAAATTGATATCTTTTACTTTATCTGTTAAAATGGAAAAAGGTTTTTGCTACACTTTTGTTAAATGATTTTAAAATTACCAATTTATCTACATATTATTTCACAGGTAACTATTCTCCGGACGTTGGGAGAGTCGGAGTCGATGGAACCTCGATGAATAATTTTAATGATCCTATCTACGATTGTTACTTTAAATGCAGAGAATCTGAAAACTTATTTTTTGCGCTAATGGTGAGTAATGTATATGGTTATATATATATATATATATATATATATATATATATATATATATATATATATATATATATATATATATATATATATAATTATGTAATTTGTTAAATTTTAGTACAGAATATTATCTATTCTGTATACATCAAAATTTTCAGAAAAAGAAGTGCTATTGCTTTTCCTCACTTCCCAGTGATTCCCAGAGAAGTAATTTACCAAAGGTTTACCATTACCTTGTGAATAACAGAAATCCATCAAAAATAATGGGTAGGCATTATCGCCGAGAAGGGTTAGTGCTACAGTTGTGTCAAAAACTACTCATTGGCGATTTTCTTCTCTCTCTCTCTCTCTCTCTCTCTCTCTCTTCTAATTACTACATATGTAAAATGTATTTTCCATCAAACTGAGAATCGAAAGTAGTAAGTAGTATGACCTGTTACCTGTACGGATCATACAAACATTTGAAAAGAAGTTTAAAATTCTAATTATTTGAATTCCGAGTGTCAACTTCATAGTGTAACAATCATCTGACACGAAATCTTGTTACAAGTATGTTAACAGTCCAATGAAAAACGTTCAGTCCTTAATAAAATAGTCAGTTAATGAATTAAAGATTCTTATAAGAAAACAAAATGCCTCTCAAATCAAATTGATTAAATCGATTTAAATTGTCATGAATTCGGAGTGAAGAAACAAATCTTATCAAAATGAATAAGTCTGAAATCATTTCACTAAAATATAAAGGGAAGCTGTCAAAGGTTTTTATCTGTAGGAGAAAAATACTGAATACTAAAACCTATCATTATCAAATTTAGATTATAATCATGGACACAGCGGAAGGTTACTTAACAATGAATGTCGGGTATGAAGTGCTAAATAGTCAATAAATTCTGCAGAATTGGTAAAGAAAAAAAAATCTTTTTCTATTACCCTCTCTCTTTCATTCTGACTTAATAATCAACTTTAGCCAAAATAAAAACAGAAATTTAAGCAAGGTTCAATTAATTGAATATTTGGAATTTACGCTGTGTCACTGATACTTCAGTCAGAATTTATATCTCTCATCGAATAAAAGTTTACTCACCACCATCTTGTTTTCGATTCCAAAAGTACAAGCAAGAAGTCAAAATATGACTTGTTACAAATTTCAAATACACAGGGACATGCAGCCCTATATTGCTCAAGAAATGTGTAAACTTTCCTGTCTGTATAGTAAACTGAGACATTCCAAATGTACAGATTTTTTGGTCACGTTTTCTGTGGAATACTTTGCTTTTTCGGAGCAATATGACCATTTAACATCTTTACTATAACTAATGTAAAAAACGGACTTGATTGCATTGAAAACAAGACTACATGTATCTTCATACAGAGATTTTGAATATGCAGAAATGAATCTTATTATGTTTGAAAACTACTTATTGTGGACTGTCACCTGACCTGTTGCAGACAGGTAAATATACTCATGAGGATATAATTATCACATCTGGGCCTGTACAAAATGGTACCTGTAAGGATTAAATCATCATCATCTTGATTAAATAACAAGAAACACACTAAATAGGTAGAGTCAGAGAGGGTTTAATTTCTCGTGTACAACATGTACTATGTATGTTATTAAACTTTTCCCTCGCCATTCGATTTGGTCCCTCGCTTCGCTTGGCACCAAATCTCGTGGTGCTTGGGAAAAGATTAGCAACATGTACTTGGATTGTGGTATTGGGAATATTGTAATTTTTTTCAAGGAAGTTTAAGAGGTGATTGTGTGGCCTTCTCTAAACCAAACGGAACAGAAGGATTTCATGAAGTATTAGATTGTGAAACACGCCTCCCCCCACTTTGTAAGTAATACTTCAGAATCGTTTTGTTATATAAAGTTAAACAAGAGGTCCAAGGACCTAAACGGTCACCTGGGTATTATAAAACATTGTAAACATCCATATAAGTATAGATAATAAAATGAGATAAACTAAAACATGGACCTATGTTGATAGGTGAATAGCAGAGGGGAATAACTTACAAATTAATACAGACCTACCTAGCACCAGAACTCTTGCTTATTAAAGTTTTGTACTCTATATGCCTCTTAGATGCCCAAGATCAGAGCAGAAGAATTTCAAGGAAATATTACGCTTTCACTATAGATTCAACAAAGCTTCACCATAACACCAGAATTCCTGACTCAGGGGCATTGAAATTCACAATTTTGGAAGAAACGCCATTGCTTATCGTTATGATTAGTACATATGCTAAATACTCAGCGGCAGTGAAGAAGATTTTCAAAGAAATAATGCATTTTCACTATATATTCAACAGAACCCAGGGGCTATGAATTTAATAATTTTGGAAGAGGCATCCTTGTTCAAAATAGGCATGCAATTAGTTTGTCTGATTAATACCCAGGCGCAGAGAAGAATATTTTCAATGAAATAATGCATTTTCACCATCTGATATATAGAGCACTGCCCTAACACCAGAACCCCTGACCAAGGGGCCATGAAATTCACAATTTGGAAGAGGCACGCTTGACCATCATAACCATGAACTTAGTTTATCTGCTAAAATACCCAGGAGTAGAGAAGCTTTTCATTGAAATAATGCATTTCCACTGTATAATCGAATATCAATAGAGTCCCATCCTAACACCAGAACCCCTAAACCAGGGGCCATGAAACTCACACTTTTGGAAAAGGCACCCTTTCTCAACATAACCTTACACTTAGTTTGTTTGCATAATACCCAGGAGCAGAGAAGATCTTCACAGAAATAATACATTTGCACTATATAATCAATATCCCAACCCCAACATATAAACTCCTGACCCTAGGGCCACAAATCTTAGAAAAGGCACACTTGCTTATCAAAACCAAGTGCTTAGTGTATCTGCTATATACTCAGGAGCAGAGAAGAAGATTTTCAAGAGAACAATGCATTTCACCATAGATTCAACACAGCCCACCCTAACACCAGAACCCCTTACCGAGGGGCCATAAAATTCACAATTTTGGATGAAACACCTTTGCTCATCATTATTATATACTTAAATTGTTTCCTTACCATCCAGGAGCAGAGAAGGAGATTTTAAAAGAAATAATGCCTTTTTTCAAAAATATCAATAGACCCCCCCCCCCCCCCAAGAACACCTGACCCTGGGGCCACAATTTTAGAAGAGGCACACTTGCTCATCATTATTATGCACTTAGTTTATATGCTTACTTTATAGGTTTAGAAGCGAAGATTGTTATATGATCAGTAGAGCCCCCCCCCCCCGTCCCAAAAATCCCCCGATCAAGGGACCATGAATATCATAATTTTGAAAGAGGGTTCAATGCTATTACAACCATGACGACAGTTCAACTGTTTGATGTCCAGGAGTAAAGATGAAGATTTTAAAAGATTGCATTAATTTTGATAGTTTTAGCCCCACCCCTCAGGCCCCGGTGGAGGGGGGGGGGGGGGGCAAGAACCATGAAAGTCACAATTTAGTTCAACTTCACTTATAGATGCTATATGTCAAATTGGATGAAATTGATTCTGTGGTTCCAAATGTTTAAATGTTAACGGACGACGAACGAACGAACAAAAACGATAGCAATAGGTCACCTGAGTAACTAAGGTGACCTAAAAAAGTACATGCTGAAAATGATTTTATCTGCTTCCTTGCCAGGATTCATAAACTTTTAATCTTGTAAATTGTTCTTTTTGATATTTTTAAAATCTTTAAAATCATGCTGATATCATCTTACATGGTTTACAAGATGCGAGGATAATGTCTAAAATTAATGCAGTTATGTTCAAAGATTTACAGTTCTTACAACAAAATACACTTTTAAGCTCACCTGAGCCGAAGGCTTAAGTGAACTTTTCTGATCATTTTTTTCCGGCGTACGTCTGTCTGTCTGTGAACTTTTCACATTTTCGATTTCTTCTCAAGAATCATGGGCCAATTCAACCAAACTTGCCACAAAGTATTCTTGGTAAAGGGGATTTAAGTTTGTTCAAATAAAGGCCACACCTTCTTCTAAGGGGAGATAATTACAAATTATTGAAAAATTAATGGCACCTTTTAAAAATCTTCTTCTCATGAACTACTGGGTCAGAATTTATGAAACTTAAGTAGAAATATCATCAGGCAGTTTATATTCAAGTTTTACTCAAATCATTACTCCCGGGGGTAGGGTGGGGTGACAATGGGCGATCTAAGTTTTACATATAAATACATAGGAAAATCTTTAAAATTCTTCTTCTCAAGAACAGCAAAGCCATGATTAATCATGTTTATATGGAAACATCCTCAGATAGTGAATCAAGTGTGTTCATATTACCCCCCCCCCCCCGACCACTTTTATATTTAAACTTTATAATACTTTATAATACTGAAATTATTTTTCCTTTTTCCTAGCCAAAGTGCTCAGGTGAGCGAAGTGGCCCATGGGCCTCTTGTATGAATATTCAAGGTGCGTTTCATTAAGAAAAGAAATCGGAAAGTTTTTTTTTAGGTCCATTGCGTTTTGTTTTGAAAAATATAAAAGAATTTACGTGTCAAAGCTATTAATTTGTTTTAGAATAAGGAGAATATATTACTAATTAAGAATGAAAACGATCCCCGACATCAAACATTACCATAAACAGTAAAATTCCATGTGAATATGTAGCACATTTCATTAATTGAAAACATTTAAAAACATCTTTAGGTCAGTCTGAGATTGGTAAGTCTAATTCTCCCTGGTTGTCAGCCGTAAATAATTGCTCTGGCGTGGTTCAGTCAAGCTTTTCTGTGCAATATCTGAATGTTGCTGTAGGAGGACCTTGGTGGACCGGAATTACACGAAGAAGCATCAAGGAATGGGATGATGGTAACTATAAAGTCTACATGAAAGCTGCTCTCATGTTGAAGCTGTATAAAACGACGGATTTGTGCAATAAATATGTTTATTTCTTATACTAGGTTCAAAAGACACGTCTTTGTTTGGATGTCTTGCTGTAAAAATACCAGCAAGTGAGATTCCCTTGCAGGAGGTCCTTTGTGATAATAAACTGCCATCGCTCTGCATAAAAGGTAAAAAATTTTAAAAATAAAAGGAAACAAGAGGTCCAAGGGTCACATCGCTCACCTGAACACTTAGACTAGGAAAAAAAAATCAGCATTGAAAAGTTTAAAAGTGGTCGGGAAGAGGGGGGACATAATATGAACAGACTTGAAGAATCTATACAACCTGAGGATTCTTCCATATTTCTTTGACTTGTTATGGTTTTAGTAGATTTTTCGAGATTTTTTTTAAACGTTTGATCTTCTATTGTGGCCTTGCTCTACCCCCGTGGACATGATTTGAACCAACTTGAATCTCCACTACCTGAGGATGCTTCCATATAAATATGACCAATTATGGCTTTGCTGTTCTTGAAAAGAAGATTGTTAAAGATTTTTCCTATGTATTCCAATGTTGTTAAAGATTTTTCCTATGTATTCCAATATTGTTAAAGTTTTTTCCTGTGTACATGTATTCAAATGCAAAACTTTGATCGCCCATTGTGGCCCCACACTACCCCTGGGAGTCATGATTTGAACAAATTTGAATCTACACTAATTGAGGATGCTTCCACTTAAGTTACATATTTTCTGACCAAATGGTTCTTGAGAAGATTTTTACAAGGTGCCATGAATTTTTTTCCCCTTATTCGTAATTATTTTCCCTTGGAAGAAGGAGTTGCCCTTCATTTGAATAAAAATGCTAAAAATTAGATAGAAGGAAATCTCCCATTTCTTGAAATTTTTTATGCCCCCGTATCAAAGATTCGGGGGTATATAGATATTTCCTTGTCCTTCCGTCTGTCTAGCTGTCTGTCTGTCTGTTTTTCCGCAAAAACTTTAACATTGCTCATAACTTTTAATTGGTTGGAGCTATGGCTTTCATATTTCACATGTGTATCCCTTGTGACAAGACCTTTCTTTGGGTACCATCATATTTGACCTTTTGACTTGGACCTTGGACTTTGACCCAGTTTTGCAAAATTTTACCCAACTTTTACCTTGGCCATAACTTTTGAACAGTTGGTGCTAGGGCTTTCATATTTAACATATGTTATCCTTGTGACAAGACCTTCCTTTTGATTTCAACAACTTTGACCTTGACCTAGGAGTTTTACCTGCTTTTGTAAAACTTTAACCTTGGCCATAACTTTTGAACGTTTGGTGCTAGAGCTTTCATACTTCACATATGTAATTCTCGTGACAAGACCTTCCTTTGGATACCAAAAACTTTGACCCTTTGACCTTGGAATTTGACCTTCTTTTGAGAGACTTTAACCTTGGCCATGACTTTTGAACGGTTGGTGCTAGGGCTTTCATATTTCACATGTGTATTTCTTGTGAGAAGGCCTTTCCTTGGACACCATTAATTTTGATCATTTGAACTTGACCTTTATGTTTGACTTACTTTTGAAAAACTTTAACCTTTTCCATTTCTATTCAACTAGATGAAATCCCATGCAAGCGCGAGGAATTGAATTTATACCACTACCGACAGAAAAATTCCAGCAATATATATTGTAGTTTCTACCGACAGCCTACAGGCTTATAGCAGGAAGAAATACTTTGTTCAAAATCCCGCATTTAGCTTTGGAGCAGAAGTAGATGTACGTCACACACCCCCCCCCCACCCCCTTTGTAAAAACTTGAAAAATAACAATTTTATTTATTGACGTTTATTGTGAAACCTGTTATACTATGTTATGGATATTGTACTTCAGGTGCTATTATTTTATTTCTGTCAAGGATAAAAGCAGCGAATATGCACATTTGAATGATAATTTTTTTTTTTAAACATTAGCTTTTAACGCCCTATGAATAGGCCGAGTATTTGATACCAAAGAATGTATTTTGAAAAAAACTGAAATGTATTGATTAAAGTACAAAATTTTAACAGCTTTAATTGTATTTGAACAATACCTTATTCATTTATTTTCTCTTTTCATGTAAGTAAATTTATTACGAAGTACAAATTGTACTTCGGGTTCGTTGTCACTATGCTCTCAGTGAGGAATACACAAATTTTACGGATAAATTTATTAGGAAAACCTACTAATGGTCTTTCGATATATAAATATATTCACAACTTATAGCGTTATCTATGGTGTCCGGATAGGGCCATTTGCAAAAGCTCAACAACGCATTCAGAAAAAATCACGCCATCGCGCTAACACACAACACGCCATCACGCTAACACAATTATACAAAACACGTCATTGCGCTTATACACAACACGCCGTCGCGCTAACACGCTTTCAAACAACACGCTGTTGCGCTAACATAACTTTACACAACACGCCGTCGCGCTGTCACACAACTCACTAACACAACTTTTTGATAGCGCGACGGCGAGTTGTGTGTTAGTGCGACGGCGTGTTGTGTGTTAGCGCGACGGCGTGTTGTGCGAACTTGTGTTAGCGTGACGGCGTGTTGTTCAATGGTGTGTTAGTGCGGTAGCGTGTTGCGTGTTAGCGCGACGGCGTGTTTTTCTGAACGCGCTGTTGAGCTTTTGCAAATGGCCCTATCCGGACACCATAGTTATACCATTATTTCAATAACCATTCACACAAAAGTTTTTTTTTATGTTCATGCAGCTATAATCGCCTCGTTTTTCTCTATAATTCAATTTTCCTTACTCTCATCACTTTGAACTAATGTATTTCTACGGAGAATTTTTTCAGTTCATTTTCCGATGAATGTAATGTCTAATTTTCGTAACCGAACTACTTTTCCTCATTCCTTTTGATACAATTATTGTTAGTGTTTGTCAATCCAATATATACACGTAGGGGATCGCGACTGTGTTATGAACTAATACTCTCTAAAACGTATGACAATGTTCTTTTCATGATTTAAATTCAGCTTCTGTCAATCTTCTGTTTCTCTCCGTGTGCTTTAAAGGAAACATTTTAATCATATGTTTTTATTTTTAAATTAAACAATAAAAATTCTTGTTGAGTAGAAAGAAGAAAAATATTCAAATAAATTATTAAGCGAGGTAATTGTTGTCAATGGGTAATGCCGGGGATGGCAAGGGATATAACTCTGTAAAGAAGCACGTGTTTTGCCTCTTTTAATAAGTACAAATGAAAACCAAACTAGAAAAAAAATATTATGTAGGTTATAAAAATTAAATGATAGAAGGACCTTAGACTAAGTTTTCCTGATGTGAGTTTTATTATCACATTCTCATGAATTTCGTCTGCACGTCAACTTTATACAGGCAATTAACCATGTTAATTCATTATTGTCAATCAAGTTGTACGTGTATTAAGGTGTATCGACAAGCAAGTTTATCTCTAGATTTTTTTTAACCTGAAGATGTCTAATATTCCATTGCACTCCACTCGACGTGCTACCGTTGACCGTTTGCTTACTGACAACAAAGCAAGTTTCTGCCTGCTTTATGTGTAGTCGCTTTTAAAAATTGCACGTGCAGATTTTCATAACTTACGTAATCAATAAGTAAGTAAATCATTATAAAGACAATAAAACATAACGGGGAATTCTTTATTTTTATAACATATAAAAGAAAATTGTGCCCGCCTTGTGTATTAGAGGCTTTTGGATCCGCCCCCAAAATCGAATCGTGTAATTTTCCAATCGATATATTTCTACGCATCTGTCGGCATGTAAATTTCGTGCACAATTTTTTTGAGTTAGCTAATAATGAGTATGTACATGAAAAGTAAGACTTTTTCGCTGACATTGAATTATAAGCATTGACTATATAAATTATTTTGTTCATCGAGAAATGAATCTAAAAAACGAATCGCACACTTTTTTATGAAAGCCTTCGGCTTTCATAAAGTGTGCGATTCGTTTTTTAGATTCATTTCTCGATGAACAAAATCATTTATATAGTCAATCCTATATTAACACCGGGCTCGATGCTATATGATGTTCTAGAAGTTTCCGTGAATGTTAAGATCGGTAAATTACGAAAATAATTTGCACATTTCCCTTTTTAATCGGTTATCACATCTTATTTCTTTTATATCATTTAAATTTAAAGTTTTGATTGAATAATTCAGTGATGACATTTTATGAAATAAATAAACGATTGCTTGTTGTCAGTTTCATTAAAAATTACCAGTAACTTAGATCCGCCAACCGGAACCGCCACCGTACTCACGTTTTTTGCTATTTCATGGCTGTTTATAGAAAATGAATGATTAATTATTGCTAGCGCTCTCGAGCGCTAGCAACTACCTTAGTCTATATTTCTGAAATACGCATGCTCGACTTCACGGTCGGGGATTCTGGGAAAACTACTGTAGATAGACTGTACGATAACAATTTCGTTTTGTCATACAAAAATAGAAATGATCCGAATTTACACTGACCTTCCCTGTCTGATATGCACGATATACATTTCGTAGGTTAGAGACAGTCAATACCAGTCTAGATCCGGATTCTGATTTTTTTTTAAATTTATTGTCTTACCTACAGATAAAAGTACAAGAAAAAATTTGGCCATATAATGCCAAGATTCTAGACATCTAGCTTTCCTTACAGTTTTACCACCTTAGTGGATAATTCCAGCAAGCTCGGAAAAAACAACAACAACAACAAAAATCTTTTTCAGAGTATGTCGGAAAGACATGTCAATTTAGTGTTTATCATCTGAAAATACATACATGTATGATCTGAAGTTTCGTGTTTTGTTGTCTAACCTGCACGTAAATGAACAAAAAGTAACAGTAACTCAGGTCTTATAAAACCAAGACTGTAATTTCTAAAGTTATAATGAATACATAGCTTTTCTAATCTACCTTCATGGATTTTTCCGACAAGCTCGGAAAACCGCGGCAACCTCGGATATGTTTTCCGAGCTTGCCGGAAAAGCCCGAAGGTGCTCATTGGTTCTACTGACCTTTTATTTTTCACCTCGAAATTGAAATTACAGTAAAATACAGAATGCTTAAAGCACAGTAAGGAGTTATGCCATTGCCGACGTGAAGCATACTCTTAGATTCACCATTCTGAATTGTGACATCCCCCCCCCCCCAAACTCAACCCCCAGTGCACCAATCTGCCTTCCTATTAATAATTAATCGATTCAGCAAATTTAACAAATGGTTCAGATATCTTCTTCTGTATTTTATTATGCTACAGCGCTAGCTCACCAATCTTTTTAAAAGATAAGCTTGTTATTGTTTAACGCCGAGTCGGCAATATTTCAGCCATATTTCGGCGAAATATAGAAAATGAAAGTAGACTTTAATTTATTGTGCGATGCTTACTACGCGAGTGAAATCTGAATATAGTTTACGGACATCATCTTGTATCTAGTGTATTCAAAGAGGAGTTAGTAAGAACTATGGTGCACCCGTTTCGGAGTTTATTTGCAAAATTTATTAATTTATAAGTATAGATGGATGCTGCTAGGGCTTTCATATTTCACAGGTATTGTCCTCGAGACAAGACCTTACTTTGGGTACCAACATATTTGATTTGCATTTTAGAAAGTTGAACCTTTGATATGAGTTACCATACGGGGGCATCAGTGTTTCACAAACACGTCTTGTTTTTCTTGTTTTCAGGAACAGTTGAGGGAAAATCAGAAACAAAAGATTCAAATGATGGTAATGTAATAAAAAGGGGGAAAAGTTTCTGTTTTGAACATATTTTATTTCATAAATCAAAGAGATTGGGAAAAAGTTCTCAGCACTTACTGGTTCTTCTTAAATATTACAATATTAAGTACAAAATAATACATTGAAATATGAATTTTAAAAGTGATACAATTATTATATAGAATAAGCAATTGAATTCTTATTTTTGGATGTCGTCGGTTTTATTACATGGAAAAGCCCGTGCCGACAAATTGAATTCAAATTGATAACTTGGCACGGACAGGTGCTGCGTCTTTCTTTTTTAGGCCTATATGAATTTAAAATTATTAAATTTTCAGAACCACTGTGGTTTATATACGTAAGAGCCGTTTTGGTGTTGAAAGTTTAAAAATAACGCAAATGAATATTGCGAGGGAAAGAAATAATGTCAACTTAATTTTAAACGAACAAATGTTATAGTTTTACAATAACTTTTGAGGGTCATTGTTTTTATTAAATTGAGCTGAAACAATAAATATTTTGGTTTTTTAAGTGTATTGTAGTATTTATATATATTCTACCGCTCCGAGACAAGGTTTCGTATGTGTTAATAGAGAGTTGAATGTTGTAGATTTCTAATGGATTTTATAAAGAAAATTACACTGAATGTATATGTGCTGAAAGGAAAAAGAAACGCATGCCCAGATATAGGAAGGTTAGCATTTATTATTACACGTATGTGACACAATGATAGCCAAATACAATTGTATGTAATATTTCATTCATAATTGTCATTGCTCAAGGCATAATATCGAATCAAAGGACATTTTAACATCACATTAAATGACTTTTATTAATAGGGAGTAAGGGTTAATATTTTGAAATAAAAAATTTCATAAGACAATATCCCTTGTATCCTAATCTCAGATAAACAGCAGCTGGTATTTTGAGCACAAAACATTTTGTCCAGTAATTGCTCAACTGGAGACAATTCGGGCTTTAATAGTGACCAATCTGTGTCCCTAAGTTGTTGGTCACATGGAAATCTCGGGATAACCTAACAGCTTGCGTCCTATTCATGTGGTTGTAAAGGGAAGGCCTGCGTGCTTAGAGGAATGCCTCCATGAGACTATTGCGTACTGTTTTCTCTTTAATTCTGGCATTGTGGCGTCTATGAATGGTACTAGCAATTTCACTTCGTTTGAAAATCTGGTCCGTCGGTGGATTAAACGGATCTCTCTGACCGGAAGTGCTGTAGCTCCCTGAAGACGTCCGCTTCTTGGGTGATATTTGACGTTTCCTGCTAACATGAGTCTTCGCTCTAGCCGTTATGTAGAGAACTGGAACACATTAAATTTCTCAGCAATTTCAATTCTGATGGTGTTTTTTTTTTTTTTTCATTAGGAAGGCAATAAACAAAAATTAAGGCGTGGCATCTTTTAGGGCTAAAATCTGTTCAAAATTATCACCAGATATAAAAAAAAAAAAAAAAAAAAAAAAAAAACACACACTGGAAAAATCACTGGAGATTGAAAAAAAAGGTTCAACTTAAATCAAAATTCCAGCTACATGGCTTTCCCCCCGAATGTGGACATTATTTAAAGCCGAAATAAATTCAAAATTATTTTAACTTTGATTAGACGAAATTTTAGTATATCGATAAAAAAAATGTGTTTCTTTTTCCTTTCAGAGTATCTTTATATATATATATATATATATATATATATATATATATATATATATATATATATATATATATATATATATATATATATATATATATATAATCGTTATTATTATCATTTTTTCGCAGAGATGACCATGACTATAGCAATTAGTGTGACTGCTACATGCGTATTTCTTGTGCTTTTAATATTCGTCGGTGTCGCTTTTTGGAAAATGTAAGTTTTCAAGAAATTTCAGAGACATTGCCTGCGGTCCAATCCATTCAGAGTTTCGGAATAAATAATATTTAAGTATACATCAGGCACACGATAAAAAAAAACTTTGGAAGATAATTTTGTTGGGACTTTCCCTTTTTTTATTTTCCGATTAATTAAATCCTAACCCTTTTCTTTCGTTTTTTGCCAAAAAATGAAGATATAACCAAGAAGTCAAGATAAAAATTACATTGTTTTTCGCCTGAAAATCGCATATTTGACCAATATCTCAAAATGTACATCAAAGGCCAAAACTTTTTCTTTCATTATTTTAAATTACACAATACTTTCAACCGATCAGCACTTAAGTCATAAAAAGCTTTATAGAAGAAAGCATTTTTTGCATATTCAGCTTTTTAATACCCCCATATGATATTTTTAGTGCAAATATTTCACACAATATTTTACGCGCGTTAATTTGCAGGATTTTTTCAATAAAAAAATATTATTCAAATTATTTTACATGAAATAAGATTATATTTATTGTCGTGATTACATTTGGTAAACCTAAAAGTTACAATTTAAGTGCAAAAGATCAAGTTATTTGAACAGTAGCTCAGTAAGATATACACTAACCCCAATTTTCATTTAAGTCATGCTATATGAGTAGTTATCTAAAATATACTTCTCAAATTCTTCATGTAACTCATGTCACGAGTGACATATCTTAATGAAATTTACTAAATTTACGATTATAGTTTATCAAAAGTAAAATATGTCATGCGTTTTATTTATTTATTTATTTATTTATTTATTTTTTTGTAGAAAACATAACAAAACAAATTCCAAAATTGCCCGCATGCCTTCGGTACATAACCAGAATTATGAAGGTGAAATGGAAGGTGCTATTATCCCACACCTGTATGCTGAGGTTGAGAGGAATAATATTTACAGTGGGGTATCGTCTAGTAATCAGAACAACTCGGCAGACGACACTTACGACCACTGCAAAATCCAGAGTATGGGCCGCACTCTAGTTGTTCCTGCTGATCTCTACGATTCAGTCAACAATGTTACTAGTGACAAAGATTATGATTATTTACATACTACATAGTAGACTCAATACTGATTCTACAAACAGAAAGAAAGTTCATAAAGTAATACACGTGTTTTACACCAATGTTTAATTTAATTTTACAGTTTGTTTTACAGTAATGGTATATTTGTAATAATGTAGGGAATCTCTCAAGCCCTGACAGTGTGCGAATGTGAATGTGGTGGAACTTTTTAACAATACACCTAGACGTAGGACATTGAGTATACAATATAAAAAATATACATTGATGTCTTTTTTAATTCAATTTTGGTCTACGTCAATAAACAATTAGGCCTTCATTACTTTCGCACTGAACTCTACTCGGTTCCCTTGAAATATTTGAATGGACTATTTGATGAAGCTTAAGCAAGTTCATTCTTAGACTTTTCAACTACAGAATACAAACTAGAGTTTATGATTGTGGATGTTGCCCAGTACAGGCTATTTAAGTCACCAGGTGTGTGGGAAAATAATTCTGACTCAACCCACCGGGTCCTTAAACTTAAACTTGCCAACAAAGGAATAGATGCTGTGAACATTAACATTCTTGATCATAAAAAGTTAAGTCTTTCAATCCACCATATTTCAGTTGAAGTGTGCACCCTGCTTTTCCTACAGATACATGTGTATTCCCAAAAAGTTGCATCCAAACTTTTCAATTATAAACGAACCTTACAGGGCGCATATATTTGACCATCTAAAACAAAATCCTCCTACGTGTTCTTGCTCTTGTTTTTTTTTTTCAACTACAGTCCAGCTGTACACGTCATTACTGTTGATGTCAATGTAATTGAAAACCAAGACCTAAAAGCAATCATATTAAAAGGTCCTAAATACAGGGAGCCCCGATCTTTCAATTGGCGACAGAACTTCTTTTCTACTTTGAATTCTGTGAAAGATTTTGCCAGACGTTTGGCTAAATATGAAAAGGAATAATTAAACACTTTGCCAGAATGGATTAAGTGGTTTAGAAATATATTAAAGAAAGGATGTTTTGCTGACTTTAGACCATAAAAGCCAACTAAAAGGTAAAATTGTATGACAAGCTTTTCCATCGTCAACTTTCCTTATTTATGTAGTAACATTCCGCTATCACCTGCATAAGGGATTTATGTTTCCCAACTTATTCGATACTCAACACCAAGCTCCAAGTACGATCAGTTTTTAAACCGAAGAGGACTACTGACAGATAAGTTGATGTTACAGGGATTTCAAAAACCTAGTTTAAAGTCAGCATTTTGCAAATTCTATGGTCGTTATAATGACCTTTTTAGCAAATATAACCTACCATTGGGTCGTATTTTGACTGACATGTTTCATACTAATTGTTAGGCCTTTGTTTTTATACTAAATTTGACTACGAAATGTTTCGTCTAATTGATCAATACATTGGACCCACGGTGGTTGTGACCGGTCATCAGGGAATGCTTACTCCTACTGGGCACCTGATCCCACCTCTGGAATTTCCAGGGGTCCGTGTTTTATATCCTTTTCACAGATTTGTATTATTTAAAGATTTTTTTAGATCGATTCCTGTTCGTTGTTTTCACCTTTTTTATCGTACCTAAACAAAAATAATTTAAAAAAAACTCTGTAAATTAAAACATCAGTAATAAGGACCAAAATTGTTCTGGCATTTTTGGGTGGGATTTCCTATTTTTCTTATCATATGTAAATGTGTGCGAAGAAACCAGATGTTCCTATGTAGATGTTCCGATAAAATTGCATGTTAAAAGCCTTAATCATATATGTAGCTTACCTAAATTGTATCCTTTTGTTTTTTATGTCTTAAATAGAAAGACAAATTTACAATTCATGAGTGTACTTTTCCTAAAATGGTTTGGATTTGCTTGACTTCATTTATAAATGTCATTTGTCTTTTAAGAATTTAAAAACATTAAAATGCAAATAGAAAAAGTAATAAAATATCCTCTTAAAAGATTGGTCCATCCTTAGTTTATATTAGTTTTTAACGAGCCGTTGACCTCAAACTGCTCATGGTGGATTGAAGATGGTCGCTAAGAGAAAAGCATTGTCCTGTGCCGTTATCTTTATACGGGTATTCCTAGTTTTTTCGCAGAATGAAGGTAAGGCTTTGTGTGTATTGAAGTTAATAGCATGAGATTTAAATATTTGAATTTTACAAAATTATTATTACCTCTTGATTATTGAAATCTTTACATTTTTAATATTTTTAAGAGCATTATTAATGTTCTGTAAATTTTGAGAAAGCTTTTTTCACGTGAAATTCCTGAAATTATATTCTGGTTTGGCGTTCAAAAAATTTTATGCCTTATTTAATAAAAGATATTTGATTTCTCCTGTAATACATTATTAATTCATTGTGAAATGCAGACATTGATTCCAAAAACTCCTGTGCAAAATATTAATATTTTATATATCTAATATCAAATGAATTTATAATCAGTACATCCTCAAAATTGTAATCAAAGGTCACTTACAAGCACTTTGCTTTAATCATTAGTGGTGAATTGGAACTCTTCGTGGACTGTCGCTAATTCCCTTTGTGAGTTGGCAGGTTCCCGACTGACAGGAGAAGTAACAGCAAATAAAATAGACATCACTGACATCACAACGGAAGGACAGGCATGCTGGATTGGAGCTGTGTCACAGCATACTCCTTGGTTTGATGTTTTCAGTAAGAAATAATAAACTTCATCTTATATATTATTTTAAAAAATAAACTGATTATAAAGGGTAGAACTATTACTAGTGATACAATAGCATATTTTTTATCATGGGCATACACAACGTAGTTTTGAACTTTTTTCCCTTATTCCCTATACAATATAAGATTTTCAATAATTGAAAGACCTTTGTGCGATTTAATGTTTGGTAATGCTGTACACCTCCTCAGAATAAAAATTTTGAGGAAATAACAGCTAAAACTATATTTCTGTTCTTTTTTTTCTTAAAAAAAACAACAACAGGATTTGTCTGTTTGAAACTCCTTGTAATGTATGCTGATTTTATGTCTAAGAACATCTGCTAATACTATGCTTTTAAATTAAGAATATCTTGGAAAATTATCAGTGGGATAGGTACTTTGTAAAGTACCTGTGTACACATGTATAACCTTAAAATCATACCTTTGCATGATCGAACGTATAGATTCTTGCCATCAAGTTTCACTTTAATTTCTTTCTTTTGAAACCGTAGAGAGACTTAAAGAATCAAAGAGGTTATGTATATGAATTCATATTATGCAGTTAGTTAGAAAATCATTGGCTAAGAAAGAATTTATAAATAAGGGAAGGTATACACTAAGGTAGAGTAAAGATATTTTTTTGAGTTTGTATGGGAGTAAAATTTGTTTAGAATAATATTTAAAAAATTAAATTAGATTAAAATTTCTTAAAATTTAAAAAAAAAACTTAAATTTGTAATAAACTTCGAATATACCTGGTAATTATCCTTGTTATCTGAGCACCATAGCATTAACGAAAACAAAACAAGATAAATAACAAATGTCTTCATTATAGTGACTTCTAGTGTTTTAGATTCTGGTGAATTGCAAAACTTGTAAATATGACACAGTGACTTCTAATATTTTAAAGTCTGGTAAATTTTAAAACTTGTAAATACGACAATTTTGAACCAACTAAATATCAGTATAGTCTAAACACAATTTATCTATAACTTTATTTTTTGTTATCAATTCTAACAAATTTATTTTGAGTTAACAATATTACTGGTATTTCAGGAGTACATTTTAATTCATGTATCAAAATTTTAAAAGTTGATACAAAATCAATATCAAATTTAATTGTAAACAAATACAATTGTGCATATTGGTCAATAATAGACCACATTGAATGATATCAACAATAGGCTTAATTTTAAAATTGCAATAAACATGCTTTAAAACGAAAATTAAACTTTTCAGAAAAGAGGATTACATTATTCCTACATACAGGGTGTTTCAGAAAACATGCAACCATTTGCATTCCTCACTTTATTGATATGCAAACAGAAATATATAAAAGTTTTATTTAATATTATAGTAAATAGGCTCAAGATTTTATTGTTAACAAAAATTTGGGAAATAATTATCATTTAAATGAATTATGACGTCATATTTGACATCATTGAAAAACAGGTCATTTCATTTTGAATGTGGAATTTACTAATTATAAAGAGCAATCATCAGAAGTTTTGACCCTGTTTTATCAAAGCATGTTGCTAATTCCTGTGATTACTTTAGGGCAATATACAAGTAGATAGGTATTCAGAATGCAAAGAACTTAATAAAAAGTTGAAGTTGTACAAAATTGTTAAAAAAATTGAATATAATGGAACGTAAATGATAAAAGAAAAGGAAAAATTGAAAGAACGAAGACAATAAAAGACATGAAAACATTGAGAATGTTAGAGACGTTGATTCAGGGATTCGCATGAAATCCTTAAGTAAAATAACTGACCTTGTAAACGAATGCGACTCAAAAATGAGAAGTCAAGTGTTTATCGGATGCTGAAATATGATTTGAATCTTACACATTAGACTGGTTGAAACAAATATTTGGAGAACTATTCTTCTCTTCCAAATCCCAAAATTATTTGGCCTCCAAATTCACCTTACTTAACCCGCCAAGACTTTTATCTTTTGGGGCATTTAAAGGTCACAGTTTATAAAATGCACCCTATCACAACACATGAACTCAAAATAGTGAGAGAAAAAAAATGAGTTAAGATTCATAACAAAGAAATTTTGTGTACTAGTTATGATTATGAAAAATTTCTTGCATCGCGATTACATTTATTCATTCGGCAAAAATGACGTCATTTAGAACAAATTTGTAAATAGGTGAAATTTTAAAGCTTTCCTTTATTCTTTCGTACCTCATTATCTATTTGCCGGAATAATTTCATTCTTACAAGAATAAATTTTGAAATTGTGCCTTTTGATTTCATATGTTGGTGAATGGTATTGGATGAAACACGAATAAAATATAGTCAATCCAAACGGTTGCATGTTTTCTGAAACACCCTGTATGACGTATACGCATGTGTAATAGGTGTGTTATAAGCCCGAAGTAAAACAGCATTAAGATTTTACGATATCCGAGGATTGACATTAGAAATGTCCGGAAAACATACTATGAAAATCGACGAACAAATAAGTAAACATTTTAACCGCATAGTGATCTAACTTAAGGTCAAGAAGTCAAACTTTAATTGTGGTCGTACACATCAATCAAACCTTTGTTCATTTCATTAGGTAGTTCTGATTTTTCTGGTCCACAAGATACTAAATGTATGTAGCAGCGTCGGCTATCTGTTAAAACTAGGTGGTGTGAGTAAGGATCGATTTTTATGAATAACTGTTTGATACATATCCTTTGACTGATTGAAGATTTGCAGTTCTCTACACTGTGAAGTTTGAATTGTGTGATCCGCCAGTAATCATATCATAATCCTATAATACAGTTATAATATTGTTAAATTTAATTCTAAACAATTCCTTTAAAAATACGATATTCAGTTATTAATAGGTGTATTTGAAAGATGGGTGAAGAAGGCGTGCAGAATGCCTATAGCTTCAGATATGTAATTTATTGAAATTTATGAAATTGTGATAAACAAAACCTTTCTGAAGAAAATTTTCCCGGCAAATATTATTCTGTTATCAAAAAATAATGTGATGTTCGTGGGGTTCAAACCCTACAATAAAAAAACCAAAGTGACATTCAAATCATGTTTGTGATGTGACCTTTGACTAAACGGACTTCAAGTATTTCTCGGAAGGTGCGCTTCGCTCGCCTTGTTCGCCATCTTCTTTGTTTCATCTAATCACACCTTTAGGCCTGTATGAAACGTTTTGATTGATTGATTGATTTGTGTTGTTTTACGTCCCGTTACAGAATTTTTCACTCATATAGAGACGTCACCATACACCGGTGAAGGACTTCAAGTTTTGACCTTTACTCGGCACTCGGGGCCATTGAGCAGTGAGGTTCTTTATCGTGCCAAAACCTACCGTGAAACGGGGCCTCGGTTTTAAGGTCTCATCCAAAAGATCCGCTACTTTCACTCCAAAGTGCCGAGCGCTTGGGGAAGAAACAGTTGCTTCCTATTTTTTATCGACGTAGGTCACTCGCGGCCGTGATTCGAACACACGACCTTCCGATCACAGAGCGAACGCTCTACCGACTGGTTGACTTTTTTAATTTATCTTAGCGAAATTAAGGTGGTGGTTTATAACAATTTTATTATAAAGGGATAGCATACAATTATTTATATTTTTTTTTAACAGAATGATGATAAGTTGAGATGTTTGTGAAGAATATTTTTAAAAAGTGTCATTATTCTGCATGGTATTTGCATCGCTTAGGTATGTACCTAGATATAAATGAAGTACATTTTAAAATTGTTCATTTATATTTTTACAGCATGTAAGGTAGTAACTGAGAAGGATTTCATCAAAAAAGTTAGCGTTCAAGTGAATGACAACAACCGACCTGTCCACCATTGCTTTAAAGAATGTGAACAGTACAGAGTCTTTGGTTTGTCTGTGAGTTCTTTAATGAAATTTTAAGTGAACTTAACATTTAACACTTAACATTTTAAAAGTCAAAGAAAAAAACCCAAACCAATTCTTAGACTACATGTAGAACAAACATCACATAATGACAGGCAGATGAAGAATTCGAAAATAAAAGAAAATTGGAATTTATTCAATATTTAACTTGAATTATTTTCAGTTTCTATTGTCAAGATTAACTAAAGCTTTTGCAAATGACTTCAACATGTGCACAAATTATAAAGCATATTCAACAGAATTGATAAAAATTTAAAGATAGAAATTTTACTACTTTCTGTCAAATTCGATATGGTTAAGCTCAGCATTGATCTTGTAGAAAAGTACATGCTATTGTTTCAACAATCTACAAATCTCTGGGGACCTTTGCCAAAACGTAAGAGTGTCAACCTCCTCTTTCGATATTTATGGAGAGTCCGCCAGTACGGGGATTGACCAGGCTGCCGTATTACAGTATGACACAAACTCGCTGAACCCGAGACCCATTCCGTATAATGGTATGCTCTTTTTCAGACAGGGATAAACTTTAAAAAGATAAATAATAAGGCTCAATATTTATCTGAAAAAAGACTCAGATGTTGAGAATAAACATGTATTAGCAATCATGTCTCTCTGTAAAAAGTTCAGATTCAGGTCAACATTTTCACCAAGATGTATATTGACAACACAAAGCTTGACTAGCATTAATCAAAGTATTGTAGAGGGCTAAATTTCGTGTATTTCAGTAAGGTTATATTAACATGCTATCGAGTGTATTAAATGAAACGCCTCTAAAATTTTGTGATTTTTAGGCACAGGGACTGGGGATTGTGTAGCAGCCATTCTTGTTCCGGGAGAATCTTTATATTCTAGATCTTCCCACAAACTACTGCCTTGTGATACACAGCTACCATACATTTGTAAGCCTTTTTATTGAATTGTTTGATATACATAATAATATTTTAAAATCTACTCAGATACATGTTTTTATAATATGTGTATAATGAACTAATTAACAGGTAATGGCCAGCTTATGCCTGGACCTGTTGACTGGGCTGACGCAGTCCTTCAGTGTGACGTTGTACTGAGTTCTGTCCACCAAGGACTCTACTCCATGGAGGTGCAGAGAACAACTGTAGCATGGACCGGGATTTCACGCCGCAGTGACCTCCACTGGACGAGTGGTTAGGACACTCTTAAAACTGTCATATAAGAAATCAAAATTTCATTTTATTCATAGAAAAATGATATGCACATTTCATTTTGTAGATGTTACGTTAAATGAAAATTCTCTTTTCAACTGTTTGGCTATAAGCATGAGTGCAAACGGTGAAGCGACCATCTCCAAGAAAGACTGCAAAGAAGAGTTACCATTTCTCTGCAAAAAAGGTAATGGAAACAGTTAAATCCATGTTGTATATTTTTTGTTGATTTATCGTTGAAAATATATTAAATATCAGCATATATATACAATGTACGGGTGAGGTAGTTTGTTCTGAGGACCGAAAAGTCCATGTTTGAGTATAATGTCAAAAATGAACTTTTGTTTAATTTTCTTGTTTAATTGGGATCAATGTTTTATCATGTTTTGAACATGGACATGGTTTAGAAGTTTTTATGCGTATCCATCGAGGACAATATTCATCTCATAACAGGCACATTAAAAACAACAACTTTGAAATCAACAACTCTAGGGGAGACAACTTCTATGGTAATTAGAACCGATTCTGCAACTTCTACAACTGTGCAGACAACCACTGCTGATGAAACAAGGACAACCGTATCATTGACAACACAAACTGAAAAATTAACTTCGAAGACGACGATTTCCCCACAACCTGACACTACATCTGAATCAACTACAGATCAATACTCGTCAATATTTACGTCACAAACATCAGATCATAGCACCAGCGACTGGCAAATAACAACCATGGGTATCAATTTACATAGTGATGTATTTATGTAGTGATTTTAGTTGATAAAAACGAATTGATATAAATTACAAAATTTTAAAAATCAAAAATTGTTGTAAACAAAGAAACCAAGTGATAAATGAATGTCAATATCAAATTGATAGTTTAAAATTTGACAACAATATGCAACCATAAATGTAGATTTTTTGGTAATGCAGGGGAAATTCGGACTAAATTTGTATTAATTTTAATTTTTTTAGATATTTTTTTTTCTAAGAATGTTATCCTAAAAATCAATTTTCTGGGGGGGGGGGGGGGGTGTTTCTGTATCGTTTTGCATATATTATGTTTGTTAAAGCTCATGCATTATTATAAATAATTGGAAAGCTTGCAGAGGAGAAAATCTGAAATATGATAAAAAATTCATAATTCAGAATAGAACATAGAACTGAGGCTATAAATAGTGTTTACCGTTTAGTTCTCATCATTCAGTTTTTTGTAATATTACATTAAAAATGGGTATAATTTAGAATATTTTAACAAGTACATTTCCAAACTCTAATTGCTTATTTTATTTATTTACTAGCATTTTTATTTTATTTAGTAGCACTACCCTTTACTTCATTATATTTCATTATCCAACGCGTTCCATTACTTGATATATATATTGCTGAGAATGAAACTCTTTACTAGGGTGAAAATTTTTAAGCATATCAATGGTGATTTTTCGCGAAATACTCCGAGGCCTCTAGCATGAAAAGTGGCTCATTGACTTTCTTATTTGAAAGTGAAAATATACACCACAATCATAGGTTTACAATGCATAACAGGTTGTTTTTCATTGCAATCAGTGGGATTCTTTTACCTTCTGATAGTCTTATCCTTAAATCGAATTTTGTTTTTCTAATCTTGCAGATACGACTTACAACACTACAAATTCTACCACAGAAGACTTGCCTTATCAAAGTGGTTAGTATCATTGTTGTAAAACATAACTTTGCAGAATATATTACTGCTTATTTATTTGGACATACAAAAATTTACGGAACCATTGCTGAACTGCGTAAAGTATTAGAGGATTAATCCAAAAATGCCACACGGATCTATTTCTCTTAAAAGGTTACTTGAATTCAAAGAACTTTTTGTGAGAAGTACAAAATATTTTTAACTCTTTATATTCATATAAACTTTAAGGAACTATTTGTAACTTTTAGATAGTGGATACCTGCTAATGTTGGCTGCCATTTTAGCAGGGATAGTACTTATGGTAGTTATAGTTGTTCTATGTCTGATCTACAAAAGGTAAAGTATCTTTATGTTGTCTCTTTAAAATGGGAACGGAAAACGCTAATTCATTTTTTTCTGTACACTTCTGCCTTTGCATTTCTGCCATAAAACTGTTTTTGTTCTTTTAGAGAAAGGACAAGGCATTTGTTTACGCCTGCCGAAAAGAAACAAAATGCAGACCTTATCTACAGTGTCGTCAAGAGAAAGAAGTGCCATACGAAAGAACTACGCGACATTTTGGACTCCTTTTCAGAAAAGTCTGACGACCCCAGGTACGAAATGCAAATGACGGAGAAACTTCCGTCAGATTTCTTTGTAAACAACTGTTACAGTCCATCTGATGAGGAAATGCCCGATGACCCCTCTCACTGGTACCGCTCTAGTCTGTTGATACAAGTGGTCCCAGACGGACAGACACACTCACTGGCCATCACTGACTTGGAACCGTCTACGGGCCTAGAGACGGGAGATGACCTCTACAATCACATCATCAGAAATGTACACGACGGAGATTTTGATCCTCTGGGAGGCGACTTCGGCAACACTCAAAGACACGCCACCTCTGATGGAGGTTACTCATCATTGGAGGACCTCAAATCATGGAGACCCTAGCTACATAACAGACGATAGCGATGCACACACCATTCTCATTCCATTTTAATTCCTATGCTTTTATTTTACCATTTTGCATTTTATGTATATAGGAAGTCGATTGAAATGTACAGCATTAAAAATAAATGCTTTAACTCTATATATTTATATTTAATAAACCCTTCATCAAAATTCTTTTGTTTCTCTTTTTATTACCATTCAAGCAATAGAAAACGTGAAATGCCTTAACCTTGAGATTATATCATAAATAAATTGAACGATTAGTGATGCAAGTGTTCTGATGACAACTTTATGCATGCTTTTTAGCTCACCTGAGCCGAAGGCTCAAGTGAGCTTTTCTGATCACATTTTGTCTGTAGTCCGTGCGTCTGTCTGTCTGTCAACTTTTTAGGTCACCTGAGTCCCTCAGGTGACCTATTGCTATCCGTTTTTGTCCGTCGTCGTGCGATGTGCGTTAACATTTGAACATTTTTAGCTTCTTCTCTGAAACCGCTCAACCAATTTCAACCAAATTTGGCATATAGCATCTATGGGTGAAGGAGAACAAAAATTGTTAATTTCATGGTCCCTGCCCCCCTGGGGCCTTAGGGGTGGGGCTAAAACCACCAAAATTAATGCAATCTTTAAAAATCTTCTTCTTTACTCCTGGACATCAAGCAGTCAAACTGTTGGCATCATTGAAATGAGCATTGAGTCCTCTACCAAAATTGTGAAATTCATGGCCCCAGGGTCAGGGGTTCTGGTGCTAGGGCGGGGCTATATAGATCATAAAGTGAAAGTGCATTATTTCTTTGAAAATCTTCTTATCTGCTCCTGGGTATTAAATAAACTAACTAAGTATATAGTTATAATGAGTAAGAGTGCCTCTTCCAAAATTGTGAAATTCATGGCCCAGGGTCTGGGATTCTGGTGTTAGGGCGGGGCTCTATTGATTATATAGTAAAAATGCATTAATTCTTTGAAAATCTTCTTCTCTGCTCCTGGGTATTAAATAAACTAACTAAGTATATAGTTATGATGAGTAAGAGTGCCTCTTCCAAAATTGTGAAATTCATGGCCCCAGGGGCAGGGGTTCTGGTGTTAGGGCGGGGCTCTATTGATTATATAGTGAAAATGCATTAATTCATTGAGAATCTTCTTCTCTGCTCCTGGGTATTAAATTCAGTAACTAAGTACATAGTTAGGATGAACAAGAGTGCCTCTTCCAAAATTGTGAATTTCATGGCCCCTGGGTCAGGGGTTCTAGTGTTAGGGCGGGGCTCTATTGATTACATGTATATAGTGAAAATGCATTAATTCTTTGAAAATCTTCTTCTCTGCTCCTGGGTATTAAATTCAGTAACTAAGAAGATAGTTATGATGAGCAAGAGTGCCTCTTTCAAAACTGTGAATTTCATGGCCCCAGGGGCAGGGGTTCTGGTGTTAGGGTGGGGCTCTATTGATTATATAGTGAAAATGCATTAATTCATTGAAAATCTTCTCCTCTGCTCCTGGGTATTAAATAAACTAACTAAGTACATAGTTATGATGAGCAAGAGTGCCTCTTCCAAAATTGTGAATTTCATGGCCCCAGGGGCAGGGGTTCTGGTGTTAGGGTGGGGCTCTATTGATTATATAGTGAAAATGCATTAATTTTTTGAAAATCTTCTTCTCTACTCCTGGGTATTATTGAAACACATTAAATACATAGTTATGATAATCAAGGATGCCTCTTCCAAAATTGTGAAATTCGTGGCTCCTGGATCAGGGGTTCTGGTGTTAGGGTGGGGCTCTATTGATTATAAAGTGAAAATGTTTTAATTCTTTAAAAATCTTTTTCTCTGCACCTGGGTATTATTTAAACAAACTAAGTACATTGTTATGATAAGCAAGGATGTCTCTTCCAAAATTGTGAAATTCATGGCCCCGGGGACAGGAGTTCTGGTGCTAGGGCGGGGCTATATAGATCCTATAGTCAAGGTAAATTATTTCTTTGAAAATCTTCTTCTCTGCCCCTGGGTATTGTTTAAACAGACTAAGTACATTGTTATGATACGCAAGGATGCCTCTTCCAAAATTGTGAATTGTATGACCCCAGGTTTAAAGGGTTCTGGTGAGGGGGAGGGGGGGGGCTTCTATTGATTATAAAGTGAAAAAGCAAAATTTCTTTGAAAATATTCTTTTCTGCTTCTGGTTAAAAAAGCAAAGAAGCTAAGTGTATAGTTATGATGAGCAAGAGTGCTTCTTTCAGAGTAGTGAATTTCATGACCCCTGGGTCAGATGTGCTGGTGTGAGGGTGGGGCTCTTGATAATATAGTGAAAATGCATTAATTCTATTAAATAATCCTGTTTGCTCCTTAGTATTAAGCAGATAAACAAAGTGATTAGTTATGATGAGCAAACTTATGGTCCCAGGGTCAGAAGTTCTGGTGTTTCGGGGGGGGGGGGGGGGGCTCTGTTGATAATATAATGAATCTGTAGTAAAAATACATTATTTCTTTAAAAATCTTCTCCGCACCTGGGCATATCTGAGGTAAATAGAGTAAAAAATTTTATAAGGAAGGGAATTTTTACCAGATTTTTGAACATCTGGACCATTGGTCAAGTGTTCTGGTCCTGGCCAGGGCTCTATTAGTTTGTATTCTACTGAGAGGAGTTATTCCCCTTTGCCATTTACTTTTGATAATTTATCACTGTAAATAATGTACTTGAAAGGTAAATAGAATAAGAGAATTATGCAAAAACTTTTATTGTATAATACAAAAAGTACTTTCATTGTTTTAATGATCAGATAGACTTTTAAGTAGTAGATAAATAAAAATGAGACAAAAATAACTTGTCTTATTAAATGTTCATCAAAGACCAAGAGAGGCCAATGTAAGAGATTTCAACAAGGGATTAAAATAGTACAGAAGCATTGATAATTTGTTAATATACCGTATGGTGATAGTGATAAATGGGGAACAGATTAGAAACTAATTTATGAACTGTTAATGAATATTAAGACCAATTATTTTGTTGATCATGATCACCCTATTTTTTTTTTCTTTTGGGCAACAAAGCTTCACCTTTCAGTTCATATTATACTCTATGCATCCTTTAAATTATTGTATCATACTCAGGTGACCGTTAAGGCCCTTGGGCCTCTTGTCACATTTTCGACTTCTTCTCCAGAACCACTGGGCCAATTTTAACCAAACTTGCCACAATGTATCCTTGGGTAAAGGGGATTCAAGTTTGTTCAAATGAAGGACCACGCCTTCTTCCAAGGGGAGATAATTAAGAATTCGTGAAAAATTAATGGCATCATTAAAACATCTTCTCAAGAACCACTGTGCTTGAAAATATGAAACTTAAGTGGAAGCATCCTCAGGTACTGTAGATTCAGATTTGTTCAAATCATGACCCCCGGGGGTCGGATGGGGCCACAATGGGCGATCAAAAGTTTTACATAGGAATATAGGAAAAATCTTTAAAAATCTTCTTCTCAAGAACAGCAAAGCCGTGATTGGTCATATTTGCGTGGAAGCATCCTCAGATAATGTACATTCAAATTTGTTCAAAACATGACCTCCGGGGGTTGGGTGGGGCCACAATGGGCGATCAAAGTTTTACATAGGAATATATAGGAAATATCTTTAAAAATCTTCTTCTCAAGTACAGCAAAGCCATGATTGGTCATATTTATATGGTAGCATCCTCAAGTAGTGTACATTCAAGTTTGTTCAAATCATGACCCCCGGGGGTCGGATGGGGCCACAATGGGCGATCAAGTTTTACATAGGAATATATAGGAAAAATCTTTAAAAATCTTCTTCTCAAGAACAGCAAAGCCATGATTGGTCATATTTACATGGAAGCATCTTCAGATAATGTACATTCAAAATTGTTCAAAACATGACCCCCGGGGGTAGGGTGGGGCCACAGTGGGCGATCAAAGTTTTACATAGGAACACATAGTAAAAATCTTTTTAAAAAAACTATTTCTTAAGAACAGCAAAGCCATGATTGGTCATATTTATATGGAGCATTCTTAGATAGTGTACGTTCAAGTTTGTTCAAACATGACCCCTGGGGGTCGGGTGGGACCACAATGGGTGATCAAAGTTTTACATAGGAATACATAGGTTAAATCTTTAAAAATCTTCTACTCAAGAACAGCAAAGCCATGATTGGTCATATTTAAATGAAAGCATCCTCAGATAATGTACATTCAAATTTATTCAATTCATGAACCCCCCCCCCCCCCCCACCGAACCACTTTTATATTTTAACTTTTCAACCATTCAAGACTGAACTGATTTCTGCTTTTTCCTAGCCATAGTGCTCAGGTGAGCGATGTGGCCCCTGGGCCTCTTGTTTGCATTTTCTACCCCTGTATTTATCAAAGACCCAAGCATCAACCAAAAAGCTTATGTTCTGGTGAGTCGTTACAGATCTGGAATAAAGAACTTTTGTATCATTACTGTATTTATGTTGTACATCAGATGTTCTTTATAAAATGATATATATTTTAAATTACTATTAAATTAATATTCAAGAAAGCAAAATTAATCATTTTATAATTTTGTAAATTATGATAATAAAACTTAAGTTGATTATCCAGTTTAATCCATAATCCAATTGGAAGAAAAAAATTGAAGCAATTTGGAGGAAATTTCAAGAAAGGTTATCTTTCTTAGTAGCGATACAGAATATATATTTTAAACTTCTGATGAATTAAACGATCTTTCAAAAATATTAATGGTGTGTTCACCAATATTAAAAAAAAACAATGGAATTAACAGGGGTTAGACAATGCATTATTTGTCGAATAATGTGTACCTTTCTGCAAAATAAGATGGCAGAAAACAACCTGTACATTTTAAAAATGTGTCTGAAATTTTTACGTGTAAAATGCACACTGAACATGTCAAACTGTGCATTTTACACTGACAATGCACAATTATTCTGTAAAAGGTATTGCAATATGTTCCTGGAAAATGTACCTTTTGCGTGAACATTTTTACACTGACAAAACATAGATTTCAGTCTCAATGCACATGCATGTACAAAATGTCAAATGGCATAAACATTTAATATGTTTGAATAAGCCAATAACAATTAACCATGCATTTATATAATTTAAGAACGTAGTAAAAATTTACACAGTGCTGTGATTTATGAATATTGATA